TTAGGTGGAGAAAGAGCGATGGAGATAATATTTGAACAGCTTTGAAGTGTAAATATTCGACGCAATGTTGTATAAATGGTAAATTCCTGTCTCCTTGTCTTATAGAATTTAGATATGAGCGGCTTGGAGCATTTTTGATCCAGAGGTCTAATGCTGCCGTATGATGTGGAACAAGTGTCTCCAAATATGTTTCAAAATTTAGCAACTGAGGATAAAAAGGCTGAAATGCTTAAGGATATGGGGGAATGGATACCTATACTACCTAGCTTTGGTGGAAGGGCAGCTTGCATTCAGGAGAGTGTTGTGAATTTGATATATAAAATAGATTCGAGAGTATTTTTTAAATGACTTCAAGGTCTAATAATATTTCAAGGAACATGAAAATTGTTGATGAACGAAAGGTGTGTAAAATTTTAGGAATGAATAAAAAAAATTTAGGTAACTAAAAAGCCTGATGAGCAGGTAAATGTTTTAAAATATTTTTCATTCTATTGAATTTGGCAAGAAATTAACCTCTGAAATAAAATCACCTCCAATGAGTGAACTTAGGTGGTTAAAGCTAGTATCCACAGTAAAGTGGGCAGTCCGATTCAAGGGTGTGATAAATTAATTTTAAATTAAATTTATTAATTTAAAACTTTGTTTAAATGTCTGGTTGTGTTCGCAAAAGATATGCAGAATTAATATAATTTCCCGTTCAAATAAATTTTCTTTCCTTAAATTGTTACATTGATGGGTTTCATAATTTTGTAACCAATTCAAGTAATAAACCTATTTTTTAATATTATTAGCACAATATATTTCATATTTTTTGCCCTCAAATTGCTGGCAACATTTATACTATGGAATTTCATAAGTAATAAATGTATTATTTTTTAATTTTACTAAATTAGATCATAGAGTGTAAGGAACGACAAAGACTTAGATTATTTAGATTAATTTTTGAATAAAATACTAAATTAGTTATCATTACTTGCCAATAATGAAAGACAAATACTATGAAAGAAAAACAAAATATTATAATGCAGATATCAAATATCATTTCCTTCAACAAGAGATTAATCAAATATCCTTCAGAGAAATGAATCATGTTCGAAACCATTGATGTAGTTGGATTTTTTGACTTAAAGCGACAAAATATTGTTGAGAATGAACTTATATAAAATTTTATGAAATCCAATAATAATAACACAATATCTTTATATGATGATTTCCCAAATTTAAAATTATTTTTTGTTAAATATAATGTTGTCCTACATCAAGTGCACCCGTAGAGCGTTTATTTAGTCTAGGGAAACTCATTTTTGGAGAAAAACGAGCGCGTCTCAGTAAAAATTTTGAAATCAATTTGTTGTTAAAAACAAATAAACATATATTAAACTCTAATTTTTATGAAAAAAAAATAATATATATTTTTTTTTCAATATATATTCTATTTTCCAATATTTTTTTTTGGTTTAATTATTTTTTTATATAAATAAATTGTATATTTTTAAATAATTGATTATAATTTGTAGAAAAGCCTTTCACAAGCAGTTGATGTTCCTTGTATAGATAGATAATCCCTTGCCATTTTCGAGAGTATGGGGATACGATATGCATTTGCACGGGTCAGTATCACTCTTTGCTCTTGGTTCACTCATATAAAAATCTATTTCACACAGTTGAATATTATTTTGTATAAAAACAATGTCTAGCCTGTTGAATTTTATCCTTATTTATAAAATCATATTTAAATGGGGGTAAATTAAATACCTATATATCTTTTGTAAATCTCTTTAAATTTGTCCATTAACTTGGATATATCAATATCATATTCAACAGATATTGATTTAAAATATTCTACTTTAAGCCTGGGATCTAATATTGTGGTTATTATTGCATCATCGGCAGTTAAATTATAATAGCCCAACAATTTATCACATGCTACTTTGAAACTATTGTTAAAGGATTTATGGAAACCAGGTTTTTCATTTTTTAGATGTTCAAGAATTAAAATATAATAAGGTATAACCAAATTATAAGTAGAATAATTCTTCCCACATACCATATTTGTAGTTTCATATTAAGGCAATAGGATAACTTTAATTTAAGATCCTCCCATTCTTCCTATATGTTATCAAAGTATTATATTATTACCTAATTATAAATTTTAGGTTACCTCTGATATTTGTTTTTCTTGAAGAATTTTAATATTAGTTATTACTTCATTAACTAATTTTTTTATTAAAGGCTTTAACAATAAGCCCCTTTCAATCATTTGGTAGGTGCTATTCCACCTTATTTCGCAATCCAATTTTGGCTTTAAAAAATTTATGTGCCCTATTTTTATTAAACGACATTTTAAAGAAAATGTATCAATAAATGTTTTATTATTAGTTGCATTATCTAAAGTTATATAAAAAATTTTATTCTCTAAATTATATTTTTAATTATTTTGACAAAGGCTTTAAATATATTTTCACCTGAATGTGTTTCATTTATTGGAGTGACATCCAAAATTATGTTATTTATTATAAAATTATCATGAATAAAATGGGCTGTTAGCCCTAAAAAAGGAACCTGTGTTGGGCTAGTCCAAATGTCAGATGAAAAATTAATCTGACTTTTATTTTTAGATATTATTTTCTTTACCAACTGTTCTTTTTCAGAAAATGTATTATACATGTGCAATTTAAGAGTATTGGAGGATATTGATTTTATAGAACAATCAAGATCACTTATAAAATTTTTAAAATCATTTGAATTAATAATTTTAAAAGGTATATTATTATTTATAAATAATTTTAATAAATTATCCTTAAAATTAATTTTTTTTGAAGAATTTGGTGTAGACTTTAAAAAAATGTCAATTTAATTATTTTTTTCACTAAGGTGTGAATGAAACCTATTATAATAAGAGGAGATGTTGTCTTGCCTTTACATTTTATAATACTCTTGCAATGATTGCAAGCAGCCTTTTCACCGTCTTTAAGGATTTGATATTGATCCCATATGATTGCTCTCTTTTGTGAGGAAATTTTCTCATCTTCAACATCAAGCATAATTTCATCAGAAGCATTCTCCTCTAACATAATTAGGTTAGCTAACAATAATTATTGTTAGAGATGTAATATATTTTTATATACCTCTGGTTTGTTTAATTTTTAATATAATTTATTATGAGATTCAAAAAATAAACTTTTCGTGAGATTCAAAAAATGTGGCAAATAAAAATTTAAATTTTCACTTCAGAAATTTTTAAATTTGTGCTAGAATTTTTATAAACACAAACACATCACCTGTCAGATTGTCAGGTCAACAAATAGAAATGACAAATGTTAGATTTATTAAACAATGTATTAAATATTACGAATAATTCGTTTTATTCGAATCGAATAAATGATTATTCGTATTCAGATAAAACAAATAATTTATTATTCGTAATTATTCGATTAGATTCGAATCGAATCAAATATTCGAATTATTTTTGAATAGGCCTAGTATAAATATATATAGATATACTTATTGCCAAGCAGATGCCATACAAATTCTTGTTTTTCTTTTCGCCATTTTTTAAAAATAAAATCTATAAAATAAATAAATCCTAAAAAATCTCCTATTTTTTTTTGGGAAGGGGAGTGGAACTCAATTCTAAAAAAGCTTCTTTGATAATCCTAAAATTTAACATATCTTCCGATCATGAATGTGCAGATCTATCAACTGATATATGTTTTCAGTCCCAAGAATCATTGAATATCGAAGCGTTTCTCACCTCGCAAGCAAAAAGATATTAAAATATATGCTAATTCCTCTGATCCTAAGTGCAGCTTTATACCACCGGAAAAAGAACAGTGCCAATGCTTCTATTTCAATTTAATCCAAACAACATGAATGGGTGGTATGGAATTCAGGGATATTCAAAGCTATTTAAAATTTCCTTTTATATTTCTCTCCCTCAAAAGTCCTAGCAACTCCTATTGTAAGAAATCAATGGTGGATTTGCCGTAATTTCTTAAATTATTTTAATAAAACTTCAGCTACACTAATCCGTACCAACTCAGGTCCAAGTGGTTCCCCAGACCTTTTCATTTAAAAAATGAATAGCTCGAAGTTATCCCAAGTTCCAACTATAAATTACTTATATCTAGTGAAGATTGAATTTCCACTCGCCTTTGCTTGAGAAATGTCATTACTCCTACTATTTAGAAAACCTGTAAGCACTCTAGAGACTCCACTATTGTTTATTGTCTTTTCACTAAAAGCCAACATCCTCAATATCATTAATTCAAGAAGTTTATTATTACTAGATTATTTAGCTCAGTTAACAATCAATCGCGCCCTACAAAGATGGAGTTGTACTAGCCTAGAACTAATATAAATGTTGATTGCTTTATCCCATTTTTTAGTTCTAATTTCATGGAGAGCGGAAATCAATAATATTAATCATTAAAAATATAACAATATTCAATAAATATACTACATTATTATTAATTTTGGCATCGGTGGTATTGGCCGATATTATATTAGTATTGGTGGCATCAATTTTGGTATCGGTTGGCTAAAAAAGTTGTATCAGTGCATCTCTGATTAACTAACAAAGTCTCCGGCAGTATAACCCTTCCCTCGACGCGAAGTTATAAAATTTTTATATACCTCACCGTAAACTAGGGCTAATTGTGAATGCAGGGTAGTGTTGTTAAACGGCTCGATTTGAGCCGATTTTTAAAAACAGCTAACTCAAAATTATAGCTAGGAAAATATTTCCTAAGCATCGAGATTTCGCCAATAGATGTTCAATCCTATATGCCATCTATCAGCAAAATCTTTAGGCTTGCATAATATTTTTCTGGATAAAATATTGAGTCAGCCGTTGTTAAAAATCGGCTCAAATTGAGCCTTTTAACAACACTAGCAGGGTAAGAAGGATTTTAATCGCCAACGCAGGTCATAAAAATTTGATTTTTAAATTTTTTTAAAAAAATGTATTCTTACAAACAATTAAAAAATTAAATGTAAACCCCCTCTGGAGATTCCCCCAAGCATTTGAAAATGTGGCATTTGAAGAAATCTTCTCCTTCAGTGTTCGATTGACTACATGTAAAGGCGAAATTATTTTGTTGAGACGTACCTTCTTCTCCGCGGGCGCAAAACATAATGCGACTAACTTTGAAGCGGGATATCTCGTTCCGTGTCCCGCGCTCGTATAGGCTTTTTATCGTATGAAGAAAAAGAATCATATAATTATTAAATAATAAATTAGCCTCCTATCCATTATTAATAAAAAAACATGAAATTTCTAGGCAAAATAAAGTATCAAAGACCTGCAAAAGTAAACAATTATAAGCTTAAACCAGGTTTACACCAATCAGAGTTTTTAAAAATATTATTGGCCGGGTATGGATTTTATATTTTTTCATTTCCGTATTGGCCTGGAGTTTTTAAAATTAGATTATACAAAAAATATTTGTTGCATTTTAAAAAGATAAGTCAAAAATATGATAAGTGAATGATTGTTTAATAATCTTTCCACTGATTAATGATATAATTTATATTTATTATATTGGGCCTTAATTAGTTATAAAAAAGTTTGACCCAGCCTAAGTTGACAAAATTTTTTTTGAAAAGACACGTTTCATAAAATTGAATCAATTACAAAGTCGGGGTTAGGTGTGATACTTTTTACACTGAGTTATTACTGTTAAAATATTTATCCTAAGTCGCATTATAAGATAAATAAATTTTCAAACCATTTAAAATAAACTATTTAAAAAAAGATTTTATGGTAATATATTTTTGATCAAAGGGTCGATTTCATTCATTAAAAAAACATTGGTGATTTTAGGTAATATTTTGATGCCTTTTATATAGGAATACGAGTTAAAATTTAGTAACTCAAGTAGAAAAAAATTTAATGGGCTCTATGTCATATCATTCATATTTCTGGAAAAAGGGGGGGGGGGGGGGAGGATTTTTTATTATATTGAAATTTGGTAACTAATTTCAATGTAACCAAGATTAGGTTAAAAATTTTAATAATACCTTTATTTTTGATGATATCAGATGTCAAAATATAATAATTCAAAGATTTAATATCCTTATAAAAAAAAATATGGATTGCTAATTATTTTTATCAAATTTTCAATAAACATTGCTGAAGTCATCTTTAAGCTGTGTCCTAAATATAAAAAATAAAAACGAAAAACTTTGATGATTTTAACCTGAGGGAAAAATATAAGCTATTTTTAATGTAAAATTAAAATATTGGCCTTGATTTTTTTGAATTCATGACTTTCTTGTGATTCTTAAAAGTTTTAAGAGTTTTGAAAAATTAATTATTAATGTTTTCTAAATTGTGAGAGTATCAATAAAATTATATTTAGTGTGAAGGCATATTCGAAAATAAACCCAGGAATAGTATTAGTTTATATTTAAATTCATATTTTGTGTTTTAATAGTCAGCAGAATTTTATTTAAATTCAATTGTTTACCTTAATGTAAATAAAATGGATGATTCCATAATAGATAAAGATACTGATGGCTGTGTATCACAATTCAGATGTTAAATATACATTATTTTATTAAATAATAGGTAGACTAAGGTGATAATAAAGGAAAATCACAACGTAACACTTTGAATTCAAAATTAAATTTATATAAATTTTAAAACCATTTTTATAATTTTTTAAAACACAAAATTTATATATGAAAAAATGATAATTATCCAAATTAAATAATATAAAGGTGAAATATAGTGTAAAATTATAAGAATGCGGAAGAAAAAGTGAATCTATCGAAGGTCTGTATAGAGAAGACTGCCATTGAAACTTTGAAAATTCGATTTAAGGATAGAACTATAGCCTGTCTCTATCTGAGACCTCTCGCGGATCGTCACTATGCTTGCAGATGTGAGATCCTAAATGCTTGAAGAAGGATAATGCAAGCTTAAAAAAGGATGTTAAGGTAGTGGATATTATTGGGATAAGATGTTATCTTCTGATATTTCCGAATATTTGGAAATTCTATGTTGTTCTTTTTGCTCAAGTAGGTTTGGAGTTTGGTTGAATAAAGCTAATGGATCTAGATAAGAATAGTCCCAGACCAGAAATTGGCCCCGTTTCATTGAGATCAGGGTAATTGGCCGCCTTCCAAATATAGATATGTTTTAGATATCTTGATGATTTTATTTTATTAATCATTCCTTCATAAAATTGGATCTTTGAATCTATCTTTTTATATTTTCAGGGACATGTTTAGTAACTCTCGAAAGTTTTCTTAAAACTTTTGGGTTTTTTATTTTATTTAGGCCAAAGCATTAGTATTTTTTTAAAGGAACAAAACCAAATTTCATCGGCAAACCAATAAACATTTATCAAATTTATAATTATAGTAAATGAAATGAACATATTTTGATAAAATTATTATTATTAAAGATCGTGTTATTTAAAAAAAATCACGTTTTTAAAATCACCAATCTATGACGTTCTTATCCTTATAAAATCAATTTAGACTTGCGAAATGTAGGACTAATTTATTATTATAATATGATATAATTTTATATAAAATATATATCGAGGGAAAATAATTTGTCATTTTTCCAAAAATAAAAAGACAAGCAGAAAGCCAATTTTAGATAAAAGTATATATATATTATTCGAATTAGTCCTTATATAGATATTTTAAAAAAATGGCCAAAAGAATATATGATTTATAAATATTAAAGTATAAATATCGCAAGGTGCTCATCGATATCGTTTTTGGTCAACATATACAGATAATCAGTATTATAGGTTGAAGGAAAAAAATATTTTCGAGCCTAGCCAAACTGTGCAAAATATTTTTACAGGAAGGCCGTTTTGAGAATATTTTATGAAGCTAATGAAAGCAAATCTATGTCGTTTTCTTTAATAAAAAATAAAAGCGGGGTGGGCAGAGAACAACCTTATAAAATTATTATACGGGTTGGGTCGAATAAAATTTATTAAAGAGTTGTTAAACGCTACTTTTAAAAATAGCGTGTTACCGCTATCGCTATTTGTCAAAAAAGTAGCTCGCTATTAGCAACTATTTTTTAATAGTAGCTCGCTATTAGCTACTATTTTTTAATAGTAGCTAGCTATTAGCTACTATTTTTTAATAGTAGCTAGCTATTAGCTACTATTTTTTAATAGTAGCTAGCTATTAGCTACTATTTTTTAATAGTAGCTCGCTATTAGCTACTATTTTTTAATAGTAGCTCGCTATTAGCTACTATTTTTTAAAAGTAGCTTTTAAGCTACTTTTTATAAAAAAAATTTACAAACAAATTTTTTATTTTTTGCTTATAATGTTATTGTATAGTACATATATAAAAATCAACATTTATAAATATTAAAATATAGTTAGTTTTGATTTTAAAAAAATTTATGTAATAAAAATAAATATGTATGGTAATTTGTTGCATTTTAATAATAAAATCATTTCAATATTATCATCCCCAAGTCTAGAGCGACGATCAGAAAATATAAGTCTTGCCTTATTAAATAATCACTCGATACTAGCATTTGAGGGTAAGGGCGTATTTAATCTTATATACATATTTTTAATATAAGATAGATTATCAATAATTTTATTTGCAAGTACATCGTATGTCTGGCATCCTATTATCATTTTGAGGGCTAATGCCAAAGATCTTTTTTTAAAAGTTCTAGGGTCTAGCCAATGGCCTGTGATTCCCAAATAAGCTCAAAAATATTTAATTAGATCAATTTATAAATATAAATAAGTTTTTACCTTCTTTTATGTGTTCAACTCTCTCCCGTGGTACATATATATGATATCTCTGATAACTCTACTATTAGAGCATCTTTCATCATTTTAAAGTTATCTGCTATTTTATTCATTAGTGTCTGGCGGTATAAAATTGTTGTACCAGGGGATAGAGTTTTAATCATCATGGTAAATGATGAATTATCAACTAAGGACATTGGCTGAACTGTATAAATTATAAAATCAACAATAACTTTATCAGCCAATTTCTGGGAAATATTGTCATTTGCATTATTAATTAATTTGGTTTGAATTGAATTAGTCTTTTTGGATGTAGAGTCGCCTATACCAAAATTATTAAGATGTTTCTCCATTTCCTTAAACTCATGAACAGTCTTATAAAATAAATATTATTAGAATGTAAAAATGACAATTTACCTTTAGGTATTTCTTGAGGTTATAGCTACTGGATTGATTTGAGGAAATATTTTTTTTACATTTTAAACAAATAAATTTGAAACCAGTTTTGGTTATATATTTATTTTAAAAAATTTTCAAATCTAGGGAATGGGAAATTTGTATTATAAGCTATTAAGAATATTCTCTTCCCTGGTATTTTCCATTTCATTAATATCATTGTCTAAATCACTTTCAACGATTTGGATATCCATAGGCGATGACATTTTAAATTACTAACACGTGATTTAGGTTTATAATACAAATGAAAATATAAATTACATATTGAAATTATATTTTAATTTCAAAATTAAATAATAAATAATAAAAATTATAATTAATTATGATATTATATTTAAATTTTCATGTTTACACTTACCTTCATTATATTTTTTAAAAGTAGCGAATAAATAATTACAAAAGAAGTAGCCGCTATTAGCTATAGCTACCAAAAAAGTTAGCGCGCTACAAGTAGGGCGCTACTTTAACAACTCTGATTTATTACAAGTCTATTAGAACTTTTCAAAAAGTTCCACGGGTTGGTTCGGGCAGGACTGACCTCTAATATATTTTTTTAGAGACCTTACTACAGATCAAGATAAAAAGGTGGTAATCTTTGGAGGCCATAAAGAATATAAAAAATAAAAATACAATAACGAAATGTTTTTGTTATTTTGCTATAAATATATATTTCATTTAGAGTACAAAAAAACAATATTTTAAGAAAGAAGCCACAATATTCGTAAACGTTGATTCAATTTATAATTATCAATTAAAAAAATGAATTTCATTTTTATTTATTTGCTAAAATTTCTCGTTAAATTCATTTCTATATTTTATTTTTCCTTCTTTTCATTGTTTTGCATATTCTCAAAATATATAAAAAAAAATCCATCAACAGGTTATGAATATCTTGAAGCCATTCCATCAAGTAATCTACAAACGATGAACTCGGCATACCATCGGACTCAGACTTAATTACGATGATTATACCATACTCATTACTC